GATTAGTGAGAGAAGTGCATCACCTGCAGCCTCTGAGACCACTCCTAGCTAAGACATATCATTTTTTGGCAGCTTTCCATCTGGTACTGACCAGGCCTGAACATGCTTAATTAGTGAGATCTGATGAGTACTAAGCCTGAGGTTGTATTAGTCTTGCTTCTAAATTTGGACCCGTGCTTTGAACTAGTAATATGGGAGTTAAAAGCATCATGTAAACAGGATTAGACTTGGCTCACAAAACTTTTGCTTAGTCCTTGTTTGAGGGAATAAGAGACACCAAGAAAGCATACAGCAGAGCAAATGCTTCAGACAAAAATGGCTAGTAACTCTAAAAACACACCTTTCAACATCTATCTCTGAGCATGTAAGAACATGGTATGCCTGGGGTCCTATGAAGGTGTCAGCACTTCCAGGTGGGACGATGTGCCTGGGAAAGCAGTGGCACTCAGCAGCAGCAGGGAGGGGAGTCTGCCTACAGCCCCTGATGAGCGCAGGCCAGGCCATCCCGTTCAGAAAATATGTGCCCGTGGGATGGCATTTTGTATCTGCAGTGACTGGAGTGCTATAGAGCAGCCCATGAAGATGCATCATGACCCAGCCTCCCTGCTGAGAGGAAGGTCAGGAAATCCAGGGCCCTTACGGAGAGCTGGCAAAAGCCATATGAGCAAAACTTCCGTGTTGAAAACAGAGGAAGTGTCCAGGGAAAGAACCTTGTAAGGTTTACCCCATGGTTGTGATGCAGCATTTATGTGGTTCCCTGAATCCAGATCTTCCATTGCTGGACTTCAGAGATCATGGACCCAGCAACCACTGCCTCCAACCAGGGTACAGTGTCAACACAGTGAGCACTGAAGGAAATAGTCTTCAGCAGTGGTGTGGTGGAGGCATTTATCTGGGGATTTGCTGTCTCAGCAGGAGTACACAAAGAATACATAGAGCTTGATATGTTTGAAAATATGTCAGACAGTACTCAAACACACGTGCTGATGGATGCACACAGCTCAGTATGTTTCCTATATCTGAAGGATAGTTTCATGAGAGGAACTGGAGCTTTAGAGAGTGTAGTAACTTTCTGGGAGAGTGTCTTCATATGTGTAAATTCAGCCTAGAACACTAGAATACAGATTCTGACCTGGTCTCTTGACATTTCCCAATAAAAGTATTAAATGATAATTTATCATGTCTTGTGAATATGATCACGGATGCCCCCCAGTTTTGGAGTTCAGGGTGATATGAATGCTCTGAGAAATGTATGTTTATTTGTTCCTGTCCAGTATACAGTATTGCTCTCCCTGAGCAGGGATCTCCCAGGCTAGCCAGAATCTCTTAATTTGCATTTCTGTTTAAGAGAGAGTTAAACCCACTTAATGTGCTATTTTGCCTTCTTTTCTTTTTCTCATTCATCTGCAGATGCCTCAGGATGGGAGTAGAATGCATAGAAAAAAATCTCACCAGCTAATAAACAAAAGACAGTATTTAATTTATTTACTTTCAAGTAAACCAGGCAAGCCATTCAGACATTTGTTGCCAAACAAGATCATCAAGGCTAAGAGGCTTGTGTATACTATTCGTATTGTTCTGGTGAGTTATTTGCTTTGTACTTAGAGCAGTCTGTAAACTGTTTCTCTCTATATAATGAGAAAGAATTTTACACATGTAAAGAATTCTCCATGCTTCAGTTTACAGATGTGATTTAACAGCTTTTGCTTTCAGAGAGCTTGATGGAGAAATATCTGAGGTATCTAAAATATTATAAGAGAGGTCAGAAATGGCACTGAGAACTCAGGACTGGCTGCTTTTCTGGGCTCATTCAGGCTGCTGCAATGAAAGAAGTGCTTTGACTTTTGGAAAGTGTGTTTAATGGACTTGGAAGGAAGTGAACAAAAGCCAAAAACATCTTCTGACGAGTTTTAAAAACATCCTCTATTCTTCTTTATGTGTTTGTTTTCCCACTGAAAAGTACATTCAGTGGATCATATCAAAATGGCTTGCTGTGAAGGCATTCCATACATTATTAAAATACATTATATATAGTCTCCATATCATAATAAAATGGGAACACTCATATTCTGAAACCATTTTCAGCTTGTCTTATATATTTCCATACAAATGCACACCCAGAAACTGGAGCTGTTCACACACTGGAAAAAGTAACACCAGCTCCTTCCTTTGCCCTGAGGAGTATCAGATGAGCAGCTGCTTGTTGCATTCACAGAGGTGGTGGCCTTTAGGCATCAGTCTCCTCTAAAGGATCCTCCACTCCTCTGTGGATTCCTCCTCACTATCTTCCTTCCAGACTCCTACATTTTACCAGTCACTTTCATCTTCAAACATTGGACTTCACCTCACTTGCAAACCTGTGGTTCAGATCACAGTAAGGAGAATATTGGTGCAGATACTTTATTTGAGATTTTAAGACGTGTCACTGGGGGACTACAACCAACACAGCTCTGTTAGTGGCTCTGAGGCACAATGCTAAAATCTTTGCTCCTTTGGATTATGTCTCTTTTGGCCCAGGAGAGATTCCTTCTACCTTAGTCTTGTTGAGTACAATTCAAATTCATTGCTGAAAATGAGCTTGGAAGAAAAGTGTCTTTTTCCAATTACGGCTGTACTGCTGAAAGATGTGGCACCAGCTGGAGTCCATCCATGTGTAAGTACAGCAAACTTCAATCAACAGCCTTAAGCAAGAGTGCAACCACTTCCAAATTTGAACACAATTCAAAAATATACAGTCTTCTCCAGGAAAATCAGTATTTTCCATCCTAGAAGAAATTCTCACACCCGCGAAGAACCTTATTTGCAAATACTCACAGGTAAATAAATCCAACAGAATATGGATTTTTACAATCACACAATTTTTTTTCTGCATGAGTAAATTTTTTTGTACTTGAGGAAAGTTTCTTTAATATTAATTTGGTAAGCCAAAGTTCCTCGGAAATAGATAATAAAGCTTGTTCTCTTCTTTGTACTGTGCACTTAAAGCAATTCAGAAATTTGAACCTGGTCCAGAAAACCGGACACTGGTGTCACTGGTGAATCTCCCAGAGGAATGTGTCCACATGAAAGCCTCTCAGCCATACATGGCTGCCTCCCTCCCAAGGCTGTTTTATTGCATACAAAACCCCAGCTGCACTCCTGCTTACACCACTGATCATAATTCCTTCTTCCTAAATTAGAGTTTCTCCCTCTAGCAACTGAACCTTCCTTGTGGGAAGGTCCTACTTCTGTGGTTTATTCCAACAGCAGACTCTGATTTTCCTTGTCTTTGACAAAGCACACACTGACATCCATAGCCATTTCATTCCTCTACTGTTTGAGTCTCCCCAGAAAATCTTCATCTACGTTTTTTTCCACATCTTGCTCGAGATATCTGGGGAACAAATGCGTGCGTTGTTTATTTAGCAATATCTTACCGCAGCCTTAGACCATGTCAAGCCAGCCTTTTAACTTAGATTAATTTAGTTTCTTTGTCTCTTTTTGCCCCTTTTGCCATCAACAGCTCTGTTTCAGGCCACTGAGACAGTACCAGCTGTCACTTGCCAGCCAGCGATGTCACCTTTATGTACCTCTGCTGGGCCTCTGTTTTCACAAGAGATCAGTTCCTCTGGATATCTGAACAGATTGCATGTTTTAGACTGCATCTGACACACAAATCAATATATTTGACTTTCTTTTCAACAGTTATAGTTCCTGAAACTGAATGATTTGGCATCAATTTTGTCAGATCATTTTAATTTCCACATTTGTGTTTGAGTGATTTTTCTGCCTGTCACAGATATCATTGACATGCTCCTGCCTTTCCAGTTCATTACCAAAGCTGTTAAAAACCTTTTGTTGGCCATCAATATGATTTACCACGTGTTGCTGCTTCCCATGACTAAGGTGGACTATTAGTGGGTCTGGAAGATCACCAGCATTCCTGGAATCTCTCTGTATCTCCACAGTTAAAGTCCTGCCTACCAGATAACCTACTTAGAAGACAGAAACAATAAAACAACACAGTTTTAGACCACTGAATGTGGATTAATTCTTTTCCATTTTCATCCCTTCTGAAACAGAAGTTGCTTCTTTGTGATTTTACACACCCCCAAGCAGTAAGCCTTTCCCGACCACAACACTCAAGTACTTTGAGGGCTGTGGTTCAGAAAGTCTTCATTCTTATTTCTAAAGCAGTTGAGCTTTAGAACAGCACACAGTGATAATTCTTTTCATTTATTTATTTGTGGTGTGAATTGCTTTTTGTTTTCTTTTCTGTCACATTAGGTCTTGCTGGCATTTTCTGACTGTCTCTATTCTTGATAAATGGCATTTCTCCGCAGTAGAGTTGAAAACTACTTCTCCTAATGAAACCATTTCATGTTTCTGCACTAGAATTTTCAAAACGCTCATTAAAATGTCATTGTCTACCACTATGCAGACACACAAGACCCTATAAATAAATGCTTTTGCTCTTTTTGAGTCCAACGATTAAACCTGAAAACATCAGTTAGAGGACATATAATTCAGGGTTTCAGTTTGCATAGACAATTCCCTCAGATATCACACAAGATGTAGGTAGTAAAGGTGAAATAAGATTCCACATCTTGCTCCTGTCCCATTATAAGCAAGGGCATCTCTTGCCTGTAGTGATCAATCAACTCCACATTGCTTTTGCTGGGTGCTTTGAGTGAAGATCTCTTCTTTGCAAGCATCACTCTCCAAGCTGGAGGTGAGGTGATAGCATTCCATGATTGCCAGAAAAAAAATGGCTCATCATGGACAGCTCTTCATACCCCTCCTACTGAACCAAGATGAGGAACTTCTAGCTGGTGATTTTCATACACAGACAAGTTATATCCAGAGCATTTCTGCCAGACTCAGAAGTTCCTTTGTCTATCACCCCAGTGACACAGGGGAGTGGACAGGATCTCACGTGTAGTTCTTGACAGGACAGGGCAGTCACAGGGCAGTTTAGTGCACCTGGATTTTAAAAGACAAACTGCAGAGAACAGTGTAAAGCAATATTTAATGGACTTCCCAGTTTTTTTCTTGGTTTCTTTTCCCATACTGGTACCTCAATCACAAAGTCCTGGTGAAGCTGAAGGAGGAAGAGAAACAGAGCTTCAGAATCAGACCCAGGACCTCAGAGCTGAACTGCTGCCTCGAAGGCGGCCAATGTGTGCATGCCTGAGCCCAGGGCTGCCTCCCATCCCTCTGAGCAGCTGTGGTTTCATTGTAGTATCATACGACCCCCTGCTGGCCTCATTTTTCACCTCAGCACTTCTGGCATTCCAATTTTTCTGTTTTTTCCCTCCTTGGGAACCTTGAAGGAGCCACCCTCTACAGGTGTTCCTTTCTGAGGATGCAAGTAACTTTTCTGGAAAAGGATGGCCCTGAAAGGGCCTGACCGGTGTTGCCTAGCATTGTCCTGCTCCCTCTGCAGCAGTGGTGACAATCCTGGCAGGAACCGACCATATCTCAGGCTAATGAGTTGTCAGAAACCCGTTCCCGTCCCTCGCCTCCCGGGCAGGTTATTATTATGAGGGCTGTCAGTGGCGGGTGAGGATGGGGCAAGCAATCCATTTCTGCAGCCAGCGGGGAGCTGCGAATCTGTTCACAGGGGATCAGCGGGGTGCTGTGGGAACCGGTCTGCTCTGCAAGCGTCCACCAAGGGCTACCATTCAAGAGAGCTCTGTGGGTTCATGGCGAGCGCAGCGAGTTTGCCTCTAATGTATGCCCTAATGAGTCAGCGGAGGGTGTTCTGCCTGCCTGAATGTCTTTAGTGTGGCAAAGCGGAGTGGACATTCCCATACAATAGTGGGCTTAAATTCAGCTTCTCACCGATGTCTAATTCATGGGCGGAACGGCTTTTGTAATACCTATAGAAGAGAAGTACAGTAGGTCATTTCTCCAACTAATTGGAGTTGACAATCCCATATCTATCCATATCTCAGAGCCATTTGCACGCATTTGGAAAGGGAGGCATTTCGTCTTTACTCACGTGGTCAGCCACTGAGAAGAGAAAATAATGTATGTATGGGTTTCTGCTTTAGGCAGTCACAGATTTGCAACAAAAACTAATATATCCTGGCAATGGCTTTTTCACTTCCTTAATGTCAGGTAGAGCATTAAGGGTTATCTTTCTTACCTCCATTCTCCACCTCATAAAGGATGATTCCTTTCCCCCACCAATGGTGTGATATCTCCGCAGGGCACTCTTTTCGTCACTGTCAGTTGCCCCACAGCACAGAGACTCAATCATGCATGTCTTCTAGGTGCCATCATAACATCAATGGTCAAAATAATACAAAATGTCCCTGCTCTGCAAACGGGAGTTTCACAACTTGCTGAAGGCCACTTGCTGGACCAGTAGTAGGAGTAAGACTGGTTCCCAACCCCACATCTATAACAACAAAGTGCATCAAGGTGTCACATGGTTTAGTCTTTTTCAGCATGACATGAACTTCTGCTGTTATCAACACTTTATCCACTGGCTGGTTCAGATACAGTAGTTGCATACCCAGAGAGTATACATTTTTCCAATTTCATCAAGCACATAACACCTGAAGAAGAAAACTTCCAAAATTCCATGTGGAAGCCAAAAGAGCACTTTGGAGTGCTGTGCCAGTTAAAACTGGACCTTTATCTTTCTTTACTAGACCATTTTCTCCTCAAAGACATCAGCCACAGAACTAAGTCCTGTCCCTACCTATATCACCCTTTGGGAAGAATTAACAGTAGTTTGAGCTAATTTGAGGGATTTAAACTATATATTTTTTTTAATAAAAGTTTGGCTTAGTGTATTTGTCATGCTAGAGCCTTCAGACTTTCTCAGTGCAATCCTCAACTCTGTTAACAGTCTATGATTAAATCATATAACTAAATTAATAGCCTTTTCCATTCACTAAGTGCCACGGGGGATCCAAAATGTAGAACGTGGTAAAATTGCCTGGTTGGTACTTCATGCTGAGACTGAAGGAGACTGTAACACCACTGGGATGGAGACAAATAAACTTTACACATTAATCCTATTGACTCAGAGGTGATTTGGCTGTTCTTGATTTGACATGGAAGTTTTGTAAGACGCTATAGAGCTAGGAAGCAGTATAAAGGCACAAAATAAATGGAAAAAAGATGAGATAAACTGCCGCTTTATTTTTCTAAATATGTTCACTAAGGATATTAATTTACTTAGGATGAAAAACTTTACTACGCTTTTGTTTTAAAAAAAAATCTGCTGGAACTGTGGGAAATATGTTTTAAATAACCCAGTAAATGGAGCACACGTCAGTAAAGACAGCTCAATTTCGTTACGGTGGTGTGATCACAAAAACATTTTCTACCATGCAACTTTTAATTAGTCTCGCAAAAAATTATTCTGCTTCACTTATACAGAGTACAGTAAATGGCTACGTAAATGCATAAGGAATGAAATAAATACGCTTTGTTCAAATGTGGCGACCTTTGGGAGACAAAGATGATAAGAGAATGAAGTTTCTCTCTGTTTCCCCTTGTATTTATCCTGTGGCAAGTCAATGTTCCTTCATGAAATACAGTAATTATGATAAAAAATAAACCAAAGTGAACTTCTTCACTTCACACTTCAACAATCTTCCAGCCATACAGATGCATTCATGCATGTATGGCTGTCATTTCCAATCCAGACAATTTTTGATAAGCTTTAGCTATTCTGAGGTGCTGCCAGTTTGAGTGACAACCTTGATACCTGCAACTAAACGGTTAATCTGTTCACCATTGTGAATGTAATCAGTGCTCTCAGACCCAGTAGAATCCCACATTTTTCTGATGTCTGAAATAAAGTGGTTGTAAGTAAATCATATAGAGTATATGTACATATAATGTCCAACACATAAATAAATATTAATATGCATGGTACTGTCTGCACTGTTCTGTGGTATCACATATGTGTGCATATATATTTTTATATATATATATATATACACACATTAATATTAAATCAGAGAAAATATGGAAAGGAAAACATATTGTTTAAATTATACAAAATAGGTTTGTCTATGCTACAAATAAAAAAAATTAAGTGATGCTTTTCATTACAACATTTCAGATGCACAGTTCAGGTCTGAGTCATGTGTGCTCTATGACTTTTTAGTATAATTTAGCATCCAGTTCCCATGGAACTCAGAGGCATTCTGCCCTTGAAAGCACAGTCATTACTTCCATCCTGCTGCTATTTAAACACACTTGGGGATGATGTGTACTTCCAAATGTGAAAAAAGCAAAACCAGTGAAGGCAAAGGTTATGTAGGCAAAGGGTATTCAATTTCCCTCATTTGCTAAAGACATTACAGCTCCAATCAGTCTGCTGAGCTTGCACCTTTTAGCCCATTATCTGAGACTGGGTCAACTTGGCAACATCAAAAATGTTGTATTTTTCATTTGTATAAGCTATTATGTACTCATATATTTGCTCACCATCAGAAACAATGGTCTGCAGTTGACTACTCAGGGGAAAAAATCCAATATCATGCAAATTTTCAGAATAAACTCCCTGAAATTCTTACAAGACCCAGAAAGAAAACATATTGTATGAACAGTGTATTAGAGGAATGGGATTCCATTATGTATGACCTCAAAGATACCTCACAAAACACAGGTTCTAAAGTCTGGTAAATGTCACTCCCCAAACACCACAAAAAGCAGAGCTTTATTATAAAGGTAATTGCCAGCATGGGCTGTGGGAAGGTCCCTCCACACACCTAAATTCAACTAATTATTAAATGGTGAACAAGTATCATGGCAGTCAGGTTTCTGGCCACTCTTATCTTCTGGATAAGAGTGTTTGCCAGGGTCTTCCAGTGGGAGCTGGTGTCCTGATGCTGAGAGAGAAGCACTGTCACCCTCTGCCACAATCACATTTCTCCTCAGACAGCCCAGTTTAGAGGGGCACAGGAATTGCCATCCACTTCACTCTATATTAAATTATCTTATCATATACCTAATACAAAGTCATACCTTCATTAAAATTCTTGGAGTCTCAACGTGGTAGTATTGTGAATTAAACAAGACTGTTTAGCTGTGAAATTTTTGTCTGTTGTTAAATAAATCTTTAATTGTATCATTTAATCCTCTAGATCTCCTTTCCCTGAAATAGAAAATTATAAGAGCTTCTTCTTGAGCACTTAAGGCAAAACCCCACAAAACCACAGATGAGCAGAAGCGGTTTATGTCCAATTCACAGAAGCATATAAATCCATAAAGTGTCACAGGAATGAACTAGCCCTTTTCCACTTAATAATTACGTATCTTTTACAGTCTGCCAAAACAAGTAGTCACTTGCCTTACATGAAGCATTATAAGAAAGGAACAACAATATATCAGTCCATTGCAACCTACAACCGATCAAACAACCTTAAAGGTCATTTAAGAAATACCACATTTGCCAGAAAATACTCAACTTTGTGTATGGCTATGCTAAATTTTGGCTTGCTGTGTAGCAAAACAAAATGGTACAAAAGTTTCATATCTAAGCTAGCATTTATTATACAAAATCCATATTAAATGCATCTGTTTATTAAGTGAAGTTGGCAATGCTATTATTAAGGTTTCATTGTTTTCCATCCTAAGCTCCTCTTTCTTAGCAGCTTATAACTCTGGCAGTCTTTAATTGTTTGTATAAACATTTACAGGAGGTAGAACTCTAGAAAAGCTTTCCTGGAAGCAGGAAATATCTGCTCCAAGCTGATATTCTTTAAGAAAATTTCATCCAAAAAGGTCATTTCCAAGAATGGTGCTTGGTTAAAAAACAGGTTCCTTTCCCCTTATTTTAAAAAAAAAGTTTCTTCTGGAAAAACAAAAAAGAGTTTTGGAGCAAAGATTTCAGTGCTGCAGCAAATGGTCTTTGTTGAGGGTACACCTTCTGCTAAACTTGTGAAACACACTCACACTCTAACCCTTGAACACACCCTAATCCTCAAAATGATCGCAGTTTGCATGTGCTGGTTGAAGCGAGCCAGCTCAGGCACCAGAATATGTTTATTGGCAGAGAAGCAGGCTTTTTTCAATTGTTTTTATTACCCAAACTAGCTGAGTATCTCTATCCTGCATTGCAGTAAACAATACAATTAGGGCACGATCTTCCTTTTCCTTGCCTGGTCCTTACCTACCCTTACAAGTGAGCTTGTCACTGCATTTCTGGGCAGAAGAGTGGATCCTGTATTGACCATCACTAGGTCCTATTTCAAGAACACACACCGCTTATCCCCTAGGTCCTTCCCATGACTTGTGGTGTAAATTGCCACAGAGAAGACATTGTCCTGGAGAAGGAAGGCACCAAATGGATGTAAATGCCTCTGAGACCATGCTATGCTGCCAAGGCCACTGCTGCCAAGCACAGACAGCAACAGTGGCTGTTATAAAAGATGCAAAGAACAGAAAAGGATCCAAAGAGAGCAGTGTGGCAGTGGGGCCAGGTCATCTTGGGCATGCAAGGAGCATCAGGAATTGACAGTGCACCATCAGAAGCATTGAAGTTGCTCATAATATCTCTCCAGGGTCTTGGCACCCAAGCAGGGAAGCCCAGGGCACATCAGCTGCCTCCTCAGAAACACCTGCTGGGCAAAGAGAAGCCAGCTCTCATCCTCTGTGTACTTTGGAAAAAACCTAACAGTTGTATAACTGATCTAACAGTTTACTCAGCAAAATGAAGGCCAAACTAAATGACAACGAACAACTTTACAGGAGGCAGTTTTAACAAGGGAACAGCACATCAGTGACCTCCTGGCTAGAAATGAACCAGATAGAGCTGGTCTCTGCGAGCACTGTTGTGTCCACAGTGTAGTGGAAACTTCACTGGCCAAAACTCTAACTTACTTAACTCTTCGAGAATTCTGAAGAAAGGTATTTCTGTGGTGACACACTGCACCCAGCACATACAGCTGGGCACTGGCCCAAGAAGTGTGAAAGTCAGGGCACTGGTAATTTGGGGATGGTTGGCATAAAACCAGTGTAAACAGCTATAGCCATGCTCTCTCCCCTGGATTTGTACCACATGATGTGTATTGAACTATGGGATTTTCAGTTACTTTCATCCTGAGTATGCTGCAGTCTTGTTCTGTCTGCCTTGGGCATTTGGTCCTAATTAACTGACCATCCCCACAGTTAACTCCTGGTCCCTATAATCCTTCTTATCTCAGGCAGGATAAGCCTATGGGGTTCCCAAGGTTTGAGAAAAGCTTGCCCACCCACATGACCTTGGACTCCTGCTTGTTTCAAGCAGGCAGTGAGATGCTCTGAGGT